TCATCTCAAAGCCCCGCCCTCGCGGTATTTAAGCCCCGCGGTGTGAGGGGAATTTATGTTCCTGTGCTTCCCGCCCTGAGCTGTGTGTCGTTACTCGGCGGTTTTATGCCCAAAAAAGCGCTTGGCCAACACAGAGACGGTTTTTTGGGCTGTGAAATGGCCCCTCGAGAAGGGTACAGCCAGGTTGGGGTGGGACGTCGGCGGGGGAAGCGGTTTGGGGGCGGATTTGTGGTAAATCCCTCAGAAGAGGCGTCACCGAGGAGCCGGGAAATCTGCTGGGGGTGTGGGGCGAGGAGCTGCTGTGCGGGAAAGTGTCGGAAAACTCGGAGAAGTTGGGGTTAAAGTGAGTTACTGCTGGTTTAAATGGAAAAGAGAAGGCTGGTGACAGCAGTGTTTGAAAAATAAAAGCCAAGCAGTAAATGTAGGAAACTATTTCACGGTTTTATGCCCATAAAATCCGTAGTCTGGGCTGAAATAAGGGACTTCGTTTACATCCTGTTGCAGCTGATGTGGTGTGATAATTATGTATGGTAATACACAAGGCTGCATTATTTTTTTCTGTATATGAATCATATAGCCAAATTTCTTTGTTGTTCTTTATATCTTCTGCTTTAAGCTTAGCCTCAGGGTTGAGGGATATTTTTCCCTGACTGCTTCTAACTGCAGCTTCTGAAATAACCTTGTTCTGATTCGATTTTTGTAGATAGAAGGGATTTTTTGCTAAGATCTTACTGATAGAAATACTTTTATTTCCTGGCATCTCGATGCATTTGACACCTGGGTACGACTAAAATGAAAGGTGACTTGTTTGCAATCACTCAAGGCTAATTACCTAACTTGATTTCTTCTCCTCCCCAGTCTCTCTGGTGTTCTGCTGAAAGTGCTGCACAGAAAATGCAGCTGCAGTTGGCTCCAGTTCCCAGCCCTGGGAAGAGGTGAAGTTTAAAGCCACGTGGAATTTAAACCACCCTCTTTCCTGCCCACTGAGACAGGGCTACTCTGTTGGAGTCACAGTTGTGTTTGCCATGCAGAAGTGAATCATGTAAGATGAGCCAAAATGAAGTCATTTTAAACAGCTTTTCAATATGAAAGGAGTTTTATCTAGAGTAAAAATCACTTTCATTTCTGTGAAAACTCAGTCTTTGTGAAATACACGTAATAAGGAGGGGAAGAGGAATCATTTTAAGTGACTCCACTGGACAGATAAAACTGTAGTTACTTCAAACCTTACCTTAATTAAGGTAATTAATTTCTAAAGTGCCTTATTATTTTGCTGCCAAAATGTGTTGTGTGATGAGTTGCAATCATTATGTTGCTGTAATGTTATTTTTACACTCTAGTTTTATTTTACATTTGTCTCACACTTCTCCTTACACTGAACAGTGTCTTTTTGAGATCTTTTGTTGAGCACTTGGATGAGATTCAGCTTCTGATTTATTTATTTTTTAATCTTTTGAGGCAAAGGAAACTTAGAAAAGGCATTGACAGAAAATTCTTCAGACTTTCTCTGTGCTGGAGGAGTGATGTGAGCTCAGCTTCAGCCCAGGTGAGGAGGACAGGATGAAAACACTGTGAGGACATCTCTGATGTGTTGTTGAGACAGGTAATTTTTGAGCCCAGAGAAAGTGGTTTTGGTTCATGAGTGCCAGGACTGTCCCCAGCTACCATGAAATGATGAAAGTAAGTTTTCAACTTCTTCCCCATCCTAGGAAGGTCACAAGGTTTAGCTGGTTGTTCCAAAAGGGAACTGCTGTAAATGCCACAGCCTCTGTTTTTTAACATCTCTTAGATCTGCTGTCATTTTGTGTGGAAAAACCTGTGCTTTGCCAGGGGGTCCACTTCTGTTTTCAAAGGGAAAAGGGGAAACTAAACCACGTGGCTGTTGGGGGTGGTTTTTTCCTCCACAGACAGTGGTGAGGAAAGAGTATGTAAGGATCTGTCCTCTGCCAGCAGCTGCAGTAGGAGAGTTCTGGGCTGTGTGATCATCACCTCTCCTGGCTGACTAGGGTTGGTAAGTCTTGAGCTTTTTGTGCTTTCATTTTTTTTTTTAGCAAGACTGAGACTGCAGAGTACTCTTTAAATGTTTTGAAGGTGGCACTTGGTTTCCCAAGTCCCTTAAGTGCTTAAGAAAATGTCCTGCTTTTTGGATGTGTAAATGGTTCTGTAGATAAATAAGATGTAGCCAGGAGTAGGTGTGGTGTGTGCTGCCTCTGCCTTGGCTGCTTGGCTCTCTGTTGGAGGCATGTCCCAATTCCAGGTACAAAAAGATGCCATCCAAGCTCAAAAAGAACCTAAAGAAACCCAGAAAAAGTAAACAGTTGTACTGTGGCAGTGTGTGAATTGAGGAGAGAAGTCAGAATTTTCCATGTCTTGAGTAACTGGAACTTTACAACAGGATTCTGAAAGGATTTTTGGGATGAAAAGTCTCACCCAGTCTGTGAAGTGTCATTGCAGAACAAATAAGCTGGAGTGTGTGGTTTGGTTCCTGATAGAAACAAATAAGTAGGATCTTTAATTACATATCAAATACCATCTTAAATTTGCAGTGGTTTTGTTCATGTGGGGAGCTATCTAGTGACTCACATGGCATCACTCCTGGAAATCTGAAAATTGCTGAGATTTGTCCTTGAAACAAATAGTTTTTGGTGTATTTCCAGTATCAAGGCAGCACATCCCATCCTTTGAGAGACTTACTTCATGCTCTCCAGAAAAAAACCAACCACTTTGGATGCAGTTTTATTACACTTGGAGAACTATCAGCATGTCTTGAAGCTCCTCACAGACCTGTTTAGCTCTTAGAAACTTTTTAGGTCTTTCAGTGGAAAATCCCAATTTGCAGCTGATGGCAGTGATCTAGGCAGGTAGAATAATTTTGTTGATTTTTGCAGCTTGGAAGCACAATCTATCTCAACAAGCCACAATTAAGAAGAGATCTTAGGCACAGAAGTGATATTCTAGATAAAGAACCTGGTTAATGCCCCTCCTAGATCTTCAGAATGATCTCTGTTGACATAGAATAGAGGTTAAAATTGTGGAGAAGCATGCAGTTGACTAGAAATAACTATTCTAGAGGAAAAGAACAATCTCAGTCCATGAAAAAGGCATTGTTCCTGTATTTATTTGGCCAAAAAGGAATAAGAATAAGAAGTTTGAGGTTCTCTGCCTGTCTTCCTTTCCTCCTCAGGACGACGTGGAGCTCTGGTGATTAATTAGCCTGCTGCTCACACTTGTCACCATGTTGGCAGAAGGCATCTTAACAAGGCTCATCTATAAAGAAATCTGTCATGGAGACAAGCCTCAGAAATCTCACACCTCCAAAAAGCATCAAGAGGGAATCTGGAGCCAGAAACTTGTAGACAACCCAAAACTCAAAGGCTCTGTTGATGGCTGGGAGATCTCTGCTGGAAGCAGCACAACGGGTTCTCCTCAGGGGGGAGCTGTGGGAGAGGCCCCCCCAGCGGGGGTGCTTGCCAAGGGCGTGGTGTCCCCAGCTCTGCACATCCCCCGGAGGCAGCAGAGCCCCGAGCAGCTGGAGCTGCACACCTCCTGCTCCTGCAGCAGCATCTATCACCACTACCCCGACCTGCACATCGGGGGGGACCCTGCCTGTGACTCGGGCTGTGTGGTGGACCACGTGCCTGATGGGCTTCCCAGTGGCCCTGTTTTGGTGTCTGTAGATCTCCCCCTCGGCCAGTCCCTGCTCTGGGAGCACCCTGCAAAGCCAGGGGTGAAGTCTCTGGCTGGGGATGAAGCTGGAGAAAGGAGCATTGTGCTCTGTGAGGAGCCTCTCTCAAACTCCCTGCTCAACAAGTACATGGAAACCAAAGTGGCAGAGTTCTATAAACAGTTTTTTGTTGAAAGCTTGGCCAGGTGTGGCTCTGTAACAAACCTCCTCACTTGCCCTTTGATAAGGAATAACCTGAATCAGCTAAGCCTCCAGATATCCCAGGAGCAGAACATGGAAACTTCAAAAGCCAGAGAAGTGCTCCTGCACTCCTTGGCTCTGTTCAGTTTGTGCAATGCTGCCAACAGAAACAGCTCTGAGTTCAGTACTCCAGACCTGCAAATCTCCAACCCAGCACGTGGAAAAAAGAGCTGCAGGGAGCAGCTTACATCATGACTGCTCCCCTGAGCTCAGGAGAGGAGCATGACTGGGCTAGGAGGATTTCCTCTGAGGGTTAGGTGGGGAAGTGAAAACATTGACACACTACACACTGTTTTCAAATCATTATTTTAAGGTTTAAACCATACTTTGTTAGCAGAGGAAGTAAGGGTCACTCTTTCTTATACAGAATTTGAAATTTCTCTTTAAAATCCTTGTCAACCCTATTTTTATACTGTGTCCTCAGGCTCTGTGTGAATAACTGCACTTGGGTGCCATCAGATTGATTCCTGCAAGAGAAACCAATCAAGCTGTGCTGGTAAAAACTTGCTCTGAGAGACTGATCCACTCAGTAAACAAGACTCAAATTTTGCACTCTGGTTTGGGCAGATCTGGTTAAAACCTTCACATTCCAATTTTGCTCCTGCAAAGCTTCATCACAGGGGTGGAAAAAATGATTTCTCTGGTTTGAAAATGGTGTTGGCAGATGGAGGTATTGAGGACTTGGGATTATTTTGTGTATCTTAGCAGACACAGGAAATAATAATATTGAGAGAAGAGGCTGATGTTGGTGCAGGTGTCTGTGCTGTGTAGGGCAAGTATGCTACAGAAAAATGGGTGAAATAATTGAGATTGTTTCATTTTCTGTAAAGTAGTTTTTTCTTTTCAATAAATCCTGCAATCCCCTCAGATTTCTGTCAGCATGTTGTTATTTTATGTCCCTACAGAAAATCTGGGTGAAGTAGTTGAGATTGTTTCATTTTCTGTAAAAAAAGCAGTTTTTCTTTTCAATAAATCCTGCAATCCCCTCAGATTTCTGTCAGCATGTTGTTATTTTATGTCCCATTTGCCTTTTTTTAGTAAATGGGCTCTGCCTTAATTCCTTGGCCATGAAACACCAGCAAGCTCAGATGGCTGCAGTGCTCCTGGGAGGGTAGTGCAAGCTCTCTTCATCTTCCTCTGGAGATTTAAGTGCAGATTTTGACATGAAATTATGACTATTAGCTTTCAAACTTAGTTTCTTCCTTCTCTTTCTGGTCTGTAAAAAGTTTCCTTCCTAAAAGGGAACCTCTTTACATGCCCTGTGACTACCTGCAGTGTTCTGGGTTTGCAGTCAGGAAATCCCCATCCAAAATGTAGCCACAAACTATATTTGTGCAGTTCTAAGCTCCATAACATGCTAGTTAAATAATTTTGCCCAATTTTGATGCCTCTTGGCATGTCATCTTTAGGTAATGATACATCAAATGCAAACATCTCTGTGTGTGTAAATTGAGGCTCCTGACATCTGATGGGTCCTTTGAAGAGACTTGGAAGTCATTGGAGTTTTTAGGGGGTTTTTTTGTGTGTGTCTTTTTAAAATATCTTTAGTTTTGGGACTCTTTTAAAAGAATCACCTTTGAGCTTTTATTTGTAACAAAAATATCACCAGGCTTGAAAGAATGCCTCTGAACATTTCAAAGATCTGAGTTCACCAGGGATTCACCTTGAAGCTCTTAATGGAAGTCATTGAGCTTATTAATTAGCTGCATTTACTGTAATAAAAACTCTCTGGGGTTGAGGTTTCCCAGCTTTTTACCCTCTCAGATCCTAGAGCTGCAGGGAGATGGACACTCTGCTTCTCTGGGTTTGCCTCCAAAGCTGGCTGTTCATTTCCCTCTGCTGTCCTTGAAAAATCCTGGTTTCTCCTTGGTTCTCCTATTTATCCTTGTTTCTCATCCTGAACACCCAACTTTCAACCTTTTATGTGATTTTTTTTTTGCAGGCAGTCTGCAATCTGAGGTTGACTTTTCCATGAGAGCACTGTGGTAGGATGAGGATTTTCAGAGGGATGAAAGAAAAGAGAGAATTACTGATACTTGAGGGCTGGTAGGCTTGAGAAGAGTCTGCTCCTGGGTGACCACAGTAAGAGCCCCTCTCTCCTGATGAAAATAACAGGCAGAGACAATCCCTGCCAAGTAGTAGCAAATAATTAAATGAAATTGGTCTCATAGAAGTCAAAGACCTAAATGAACATTTCTCACTGGATCAAAAATTCCATTCACCTGCTGCACTTGAAATCAAGAGTCCCTTGAAAGAGGCCAAATGACCTTCTGGAGGAGTCCAGAGCAGGCAGTGCCTGAAAATATTCCTAGGCAGAGGTGCAGAGAATGAATTAACTGGGAGCAAGAGGAAGAATGCTCCAAAGGACATCAGTAACCAGAGGCTTTGCAGTTAACCATGGAGAGAAGTGCTCTGTGGCCTTCCTGCTGCCTTCCCCCAACCTTTGATCTCCCCTGAGATGTATTTAGAGTCCAAACCAAGGTCTTGTACGGAGTTAATTGCACGAGGTTCTCCCCCAGGGGGTGTAGGAGTAGGAGTTTCAAGCTGAGGTCCAGACTCTGGTTGGTTTCTGTCCTTCCCAGCCCTGAGAAATGCGTTGGAGGAGACAGAGAAGAACCTGTTCTTCTCTCCTGCTGACCTCAGAACCCAACTGTGCTTCCAGGGTTGATGGTAACAGAAGTAGCAGAAGCTGCTGAGCTGTGTCAGCTGCTACAGTGGGAGAAACCCTCATGGACCTGCCTCCACCATCACCACCAAAGAAATGTTGTGGCAGAACCTGAGCTTGCTGTGGGGTTTTGGTTTGCTGATAGAAAGATGGAAGATGTCTTAATTTGTAGGGTTTTAATAAATGACTAGTTTGGGGGAGGGAAAG